AAGCACTGAAATGATTAAGACAAAAGCATGAATTATTACGAGGGCTACCCCTGACTGTCGCTGTCCGTCTTGAACTGGAGAAGTTCGCCCAGCGTTACGAAGCACAAGACAGGCCGTGAGATCGCCGACTCTCATAACCTGGCATTCGGTAGAGACTGATATTAGCACCGGCACAAATCCATCGAGTTACCGCTGCAGGGACGGACGGACTCTTTCAACACACGAAATTAACAAATAAATGTATGTCAAAACAGTGAAGAACGGAGCCCGTCTTAAAGGCGTACTTAAAAATCTTTAGGATCCTCTCTTCCCCCAGACTAAACGTCGAAACAGCGATAAAAGAATTTATTGGCAATCAAACATAAGGACAGAGCATTCAAAGAATTTAACGAGTCAGCGTTCATAACAAACTCGAAGGCAACTTTCTTGGTAGAACCTTAAAATACATAGGCCGTAGAATGTCTACTCCCACTTCATCTAAAATGACTCCCCCAAAGGATATCGGTGACATAGAGCAACGAATTCATGAGCGATGTTGATTAAGATCAAGGGACTTTCATCGCCCTGATGAAGGAGGCAGTATGACCTCTGAAACGTTGGTTAACATCGACCATACTACACAGCGCAACAACCCAGAAGACAGAAATCTTCATACTCACCGCTGTGAAAACCTCAAATCTTTCAAAATACTTGTTCCGGAAATGTCCACTTAATATTCTATGGTCGCAGAGGACAATCGGATGCACATATTTGGGTGCGAGTGCCTTCCTTACTGAGCGTGTAAATAAATAAACACTAACCGGATAGCGTTACGCGTAAATGGCTGGGCGTTGGAAGGGTGTGGTAAGATTACTTGAGATAAAAGTATCATTTGTGCGCATGCCTTCATGAAGATGTACAGAGGAAACGTAGAAAGCCTTCCACGTATTCTAAACCTAAGACGGCAAATGAACGACGTTTAGCTGTCGAGACACAATTTACAAAACACCCAGAAAACTGTTCACTGTACAAACATTTGGAACACTGAATAAAATAGACTTTCGGATCTACAACGCGTACCTGAAATATTTTCCGGTAAGGTGAATGTCACACAAATACACGAAAGATTTATGTCTTGAAAAGTATATCTGCACATGGGATAAATTAACACACGGGCCACTGACTACGGAAGATTGCAAAGAAAATGTTTGTAAAATATCTACTCCGGAACTGTTCCTATAATTGGTGAAAGAGATACGAATTCTGAGACGCAGTGGAATACAAGAGAACGGATGTTCGACATTTCTCTCTCAAGCGCCATAAAACAGACGAATTAAATATTTACATCCCTCAGCATGAATCATAAAAATATAGTCTCAACAGACTGGCAGCAAATCTGGCCAAGGCACCCGGAAACAGTTGCCTTAATTATCGAGCGGTTTATGGGGCAGTGTTGTCAACTCAAGCCAGCGAAGTTAATCTGCTACAACTCGGACAAATCGTCCTGAGTGGATCTGATGTGATGTCAAAGTACCTAACAGTCGGCCGGTCAAGCTATCCATTTGTTTTAAATCCATAAAAGCTGCAAGTTGCCACAAAAATATACAACAGCACATAAATGGATATTTGTCCGCCGTGTGGTATTCTGGAAATAATACATTTCGGAACCCAGATGCGCGTCTGTCTTCAGTTAATTACAACGCTACTTTTCATATAATTGTTCGTGCAGTAAAATCTCGGTCACCTTCAAAATACCGCTCTCATCACATGCATACCTGTAAATTGTTACGACTTGTTGATTCTTCACTCTTCACTGTTACAAAATCAGATAAAAAGTAGTTGCATTTCAGATGGTCCGCTCCTTTCTGTGCTACGGATGTAATCCTGACCGATGAGATCTGTCCACAACGAAACACACGAACCCACTTCAACAGCTGCGTGCACTAAACTGGTACTGAGATGCACAGTGACGCATCATTCATTCCAGTCCACAGATAAAACTACCAGTCAGTCCCTCATTGGAACCGGAACTGGAGGGGGCAGGGCGGAGGGATACAATTCAAGGACGACGCGCTGTTAATGCTCTAAGTTTAAATGCTTACACCTTCCCACGTTGGCTTCCAGGGCCGATAATTTAGGGCGTAGTGCTCTGGAGCGTAGGAGAGCCCCAGAAAGCGTATGTACCAGGGATCGAAGTCCAATTTTTAGATCCTTAGCCACTTATTTTGTTATCCCGTCTCAACTTCTCAGCAGTTATGTAAAACATAAATAACACTGTGAAAATGAAATATGTGAACTTTTAATTTGGTTCTGGGCTTTTTTCCTCTTTTGTAAACGAAGTTCTTTGTTCCACAGAGACCTCATCATAATAGGTGGTAAAGACAGTGGAAGGGAATTAGTAAACAAGAGACAGACCTCATAATTTGATTCATTCCAAAAATTGACTAGATGTCTATGTGAAATCTAGATTGGGGTTCAGAGATTCAAAAAGATCACTGACAACCAACGGACTGGTGCAAAAAAGTTACATGACATTGTGTGATATTAATCCAACTGAATTGAACTGAGCGATCAATAAACATTTGATCATCCTGTGTGTGGACCACGTCAACTAATACGTCCTCAAAATATATACTGCAAAACTGTGATGTAAAAACTACGGATCAGAATTGAAATAAATACATCAATTTCTTTAAAACCTTCTTCTTCTATGGCTCTCTGGTCTGTATTCGGTCCATGGCCTCCTCAATTCTCCTCTTCCATTCGGTCCTATTGTTAGGTCCCCCCACTTAATGGTACCTGCACCTTGTTGTGGTGGTGGGGCTGAGGACCTCAGTGACCCCAAGAGCTACTGGTAGGGCCTCCGTAGCCAGATTCGTCGAGGGGGAGAGGTCAGACTAAGACAGGTACCCTGGTCCTCCAGGTCGGGGTTGGTCGCAGGGCTAACAACCTTGCACCATTGCATTTTCAAAAGCAAATAATGTATGGTTCTTTAAAATTACTGTTCTCAATACCAGGCCACAGAATAATTAGTAAAAATTATATAATCTCACCTTCAAACACATTTACGTGTGTTAGCTTCTTTAAATGTAACCTATATTGCAGTCCATAGCGGCAAACATGTCCGACTTTTTTCCTATTCAGAATGGTCCAAAACAAGGAGATGCTTTATTGCCATTGCTTTAGAAAATGCCCAAGAAACTCAGACGGGACGCAAAATAAAAGGGACACATCAGCTTCTGGTCTACGCTGATGATGTAAATCTGTTGGGGGTAACATAAATACCACAGAAAAAAAAACATGGGAGCTCAAATTGATGCTAGTAACAAGGTAGGTCTAGAAGTAAACGGAGTATATGTGGATATATCGTCACCGGACGGCAGGGAAAAGTTGTAACATGAAGATAGCTAATGAATCCTTTAAAAATGTGGCAAAGTTCGGGTATTTGGGAGCAACAAATCAAAATTTGATTAAAGAGGAAATTAAGAGCAGATTAAATTTGGGTAATGCTTCAGTTCAGAACCTTTTGTCTTTTCGATTGCCGTCTAGAATGAATGGGGTGGTATGGACTGGATTCATCTGGCTCAGGAAAGGGACCAGTGACAGGCTCTTGCGAACACAATAATGAACCTTCGGGAATTTCTTGAGTGGCTGAGCAGGGAAGACTCGGCTCCAATCCATTTAGTAGTGAGTGAAATTAAGGTAATGGAAATAGGTGCAGAAGACTCCATTTTGTATCATGATTTCATAATATTCATCCATTTTGTTTTAAAGCTACATGGACTTTGTAGGATCACTCATTCTTCGTTAATAGGGCGGTCTTTGAGCGTCTGAAGGCCTTCTTCAGTTGCTGATACTGCTTCAGTTTGTACAATCTTTCAGGACCGCAAGTATGTTCATCACCACCTTCAATATCAATAAAATGAGTGCAAGGTGTTTCCAGAATTTCAGCCTGGAGAAATAGCCCTTCTTATCTGGTTCCTGGTGAAAAGACATGAGAGGAATGTGGCAACTTCATTACTTAATCTCCGTCTGTGTCATTTCGGTCGCTAACTACAGATCTTAGTTTTAGGTCAGATATGTTTTTTAAAAATTGTTGGGTATAGCCATTTATCTCTTTGTTCATTAGTTTGTAAATTTCGGGATAAAAAACTGAGCAAATATTCCAGTCAGTTACATGAAAAACGCGATCATTCAGTGCCCAGCTTTGTTTATGTCTCGTGCCACATGTCACTGTTGTCACAAACATCTTCATCATCAGAGCTGATGATTTTCTTACCTGCTTAATAAAATTTCAACATTCATGTCGCCATCACCATTACATTCACTCTGGGAAATATTACTACATTAATTACATAATTCTTCATCACACCAACGACTAGAAAAGACTTGAACTTTGGTCTACCTCAAATTATTTATCACCTCCATTCAGAAATGGAAAGTCTAATAAGTGCATTAAGCGTGTCTGAAATTGTCGTATCTGTCACTACGGAGTAGAAGATAAAGGTACGACGCGCAAAGACTCCATATGTGTGATATGTCATTCACTCTTAAATGGTTAATATCTAATTACTGGTCAGCCATTGAATAAATTATACCAGAATTCATCAAAATACTTAAAAAAAAAAGAGTACTGACAACTTATCTCCTTGTAAGAGCCTAATTCTGAGACTTTACCGTTAAGCCACCTGACAAAGTAGAACTTCGATACAACTGAAAGTATTAAAAAGTAATTTAATATGAAACATTTTTTCTTGCTTCTTCTGAATAAAACTTTTGTTATTATACGCCACATTTCATATTCTTCTAAACGCACGACAGACGACGGACGATGAAAGTCCGAGCCCTTTTACACAAGCAAAATTAATGTAAACAAATATTCACACGTCCGAAAATAAGATATTTTAAAGTGAGATATGAGGTTGTCATGGTTATAAGCGCAAACATGTACGTCTTCTTGGATAGAGTACTACATAGTTTGGTAAATAGTGACCGACGTTTTGGTTTAAGAGGAGATTACTGCCTCCATCAGCAGCGTCATGATCATGGAGGCAGTAAGCCCCACTGAAACATAAGTCAGTATCTATTAGACTACGTGGTGCTATATCTCAGAAGCGAGCCACATCAACTTTTCTGAATTCGCATTTTGTGCAAGTTTCTGTTTTCAGGAGAACTCAGTCAGTGTACCGGCTGCATGAGTGGGGTTTGATTTCCAGCATTGGCAGGCCCCTCTTCACCAAGAGACTTGCCCAGCCTCCTACACTATGGATAACCAAAAATTTTTCTTCAGGAGCTTGGCAGTGGGAGGATGGAGCTGATCGGTCAACTGTGTCCAGGCTGCATGGACACTGCATCCACCCTTATTGTGTTGAGATTATGCTAAATACCAATTTCAGTTTTACTTTTATAAAGTGTAACAGTGTTTATGAAACACGGCTTAATTAATATCTGCAATTCCAGACAGCGTTAATATTTGACATATTTTATTACAGCTAAAAAATCCTATTATGTAAATAGCAACTTATTTATTTTTGTATTCTTTTAGTATTTAATAATGTGTGCTAAACATTTGTACTTCCCCATCTTGCAATTCGCACAGCTGGCGGAGTAGTGAGGACATCCATGTCCCAGAAACTTAATTTATTTTGTAACTGCTCAAGCACAATATATAACCACAAATTTTCAATTTGGGTGATCACGTCTCACATTAATATGATCCAAAGGATTCATTTATATTTTTTTAAATAAACGTGTCTACATGAGCTAGTAGAAATCAGATTTGTACACTGTAATTTATACTGAGAAAGGTGAGACAAATAAGATATCAGTCATTAGAAAGCCCACCGCTGTGTACCGGCATGTGAACAAGAAAATGCCGAGAACCACTGAAGTTCTTATTTTTTTATTTCCTTTCAATCCCTTCTTAGAAATGACAGCTGCTTTGCAGTCCTAAGTCCCTTAACACTGTCATCTTTGCAGCAGAAGCAAAAGCAAAGGAAGTGTTACATGAGGCTGTGTATCTTCATGTGCCGCTTTACATGACTGCGCTCAGAGAAACTCTTGCTACAAAGCTCGCACTGGTGCGGTTTCTCCCCAGTGTGAATATTCATGTGAATTTTTAACGTCTTGCGGTATGCAAAGCTCTTGCCACACAGGAGGCAGGGAAATGGCCGTTCCCCAGAATGCACTTTTAGGTGTTCCTTAAGAGTGGAGCGTTGTGTAAACCGTTTAGAGCACTGAGTGCACTGGAAAGGACGTTCATGCGAGTGAATGTTAAGGTGGTCCTTGAGATTACCCCGAAGAGCAAAGCACTTTCCACAGACTTGACAAGCATGTGGTTTCTCTCCTGTATGAAGCATTTCATGAATCTTCAAATTACCTTTCTGAGCAAAACTCTTCCCACATTCTTGGCATAAGAAACGTTTTTTACCTGAATGAACATTCTCATGTTCCCGTAGAGCACTACGAACTGAAAAGCGCTTGGCGCACAGTGGACATGCAAACGGACGCTCGCCAGAATGCGTGCGCTTGTGCCGAGCCAGGTTCGATGACGAGGGAAAGCTTTTCCCACAGCTGTCACAGATGTAAGGTCGTTCACCCGAATGAATACGTTTATGAATCTGAAGGTCTCCAGCCTGAGTGAACACTTTTTGGCAAACATCACACTGATGGGTGCGGTTTCCTGATCGCTTCTTCTTTGCGGTGCTCCTCTTTGCCGGCGGACTGACATCTTCTCCTAGACTTGAGCTGCCATGCTCTTCTGCTGAAGAGTTCACTTGTGAGTGCAACCTGACAATATGAAAGTATTTTAAAATTAACCACTTTCACACAGAATTCTTTTCTTCATGATACTGCCAGCTTGAGCGTGACGCGGGCTCGGCATACAGCTCATACCGCTAGTGTATACTGAAGAAGCTAGAAACACATACAGAGTTTTGGTAGGGAAATTTATAAAGTGACAAATTTCGGTGGTCAGAGACAAGGGTTAAGCAAGGGTGACTGCACCTAGTAAATCTCTGTAGGTGCATGTATGTGCCCCAGGGGTGGGCACAAGTTCAGTCATTGCGTAGCATGCATGCAAAGACCCACTGCTCACCAAGGCAGCTTTGTCATGGGTATAACTCAAACCTGTCTGGTTTGATGAACGGAACAGACAACCAACAGGACAATAAAATGGAGGGCAAAAAGGCAGCTCCTCCAACAAAATATTGAACAAAAGGCTTGTTACATATCATGGGGAAACACTACTGGATTATTAACAGATAAACACAACTAAAGAAGCTTTAATAGTGACAGAACAACCTATAGAAAGAACCTGTACCTTGGATTCATTGAGTCTTATATTATTGAATGCAGGAATGCTAATCACTGAAAGTCAATAACGGAGTTTATCAGTTACACATTTAAATAAATCACAACTTCAAAATGGGATTGGTAATACCACATTTGGATTTTAAACGACAGAAGAAACAGGTCCCAGAAAATGGTGTCTAACTAACTAACTAACTAGATGGCTTACCGAACCCGAAGGTTCATCACCGAATTAACCAAAGCCCTCCACCGGAACCTGTCCTGGGCCAACAAAATCCAGAAAAATGTGTCAGTAAATGAGAAGAAACAGGTCCCAGAAAATGGTGTTAGTAAATTTTATACTTACGAATCATTTTCATCGTGTTTCAGATCTATGTCAATATCCAAAGAGTCTGGTTCTTCATTTATCTCTACTTTCAGCTCATCTTTAGATTCGTCAATACTATCATCACCATCGTCATCATGAAAATTATCATTATCATCTTTAACATCACCAGTCTTTTCACATTCATCCTGTAACAACACATTTACTGGTGAGCAATGCCCCTTGTACACCCACGGAAATAAATGTTAGGGTTGAACCTGGTACATGCATTTCTGAGAGTCATGCAGTATCTATAATAATGCCCGTGCATCTGAGTTGAACATGTTATTGAAGCTCTGATAATAAGATGATGGTATCGAGAGCCATCACAGGGTTTTGATTCCCTAACACACCTTCCTCAGAACATTATTGGTATCGGCAGACAACTTAGCATGAGCGTGACATCACAAAACTAGGAAATTGATAGAGATTCTACTAGTAACTGAAAATGCATCTGATTATGTACTCAACTGCATGACCTTAACTCCTATCGAGAACTGAAACCCGAGATAATTGTCTTCAACATGGTGCGGCCAAGACTGGCATCACGACCACTATGAACCACCCATAATGGTCACTCGTGGGCCGACTAGTCTGCCCATACTTATACCTCATACCAGGGTATTACAGTCTGCCCATACTTATACCTCATACCAGAGTAATACGAATTAAATGGACTGTGCTGAGAACTGCAATACATGTGGAAAGGTGAAAGAGTCTTAATTTCATATTCATCACTGAAATGACTAATCACATAGAACATAACCTAAATGAAAGTTATAAATCATTCTGCAGCTGCGTTGTAAGTGAAGGTGAGATGCCCTTTCTACGGACAGCGGGAGTATAAGTAAGCGAGCAGCAAGCTGGCAGCTGAATTGATAGTGAGGTCAAGTGGAAGGATGTGCTTGGAGCCAAACCTATTGCTTCAGTTGACGATATTAGTAAAAAGAAAGATCACACTGACACTGACTAAACAAATCTAACCTATCCCACTATTTTTAAGTACCTACATTAACACAGCAATGTTTCTACCAACGTGGTTGCAGCTTCAGAGTTTAGGACCATAAAAACTCTAAATATGCTTACACCCATAATAAATAATTTAATTTCAAAACCTTTTACTTATTTAATTTTAAAAAACTCAACAACTAATTGGCAATGCAAAAGTATTTCATTCACCTTTATGAACAATCCATCCAGCTGCCACATCAGGTAACATGTTGCGGTAGCACGCAGTTAAACCTCATAATTAAAGAAGGTGACTATCTTCTGCGTTGTAGCCCCATGAAGTCTGGTAGAAGTTTACCAATGTTTCAGAGATCATTGCTGCCTCCATCATCAAGGCAATAAGTGCCCTGATAATGGAGTCAGCAAAGACCTTTGAAACATTTGTAAACTTATGTATAGAATGAAGCTTTCGAGGCGACTGAAACTGACAAAACACTCTCGGGTTACGAGCCGTGTCAAGTGGCTGAATGGTGGATAAACCGAATCGGCAGGCAGAAGATGTGGTTTTTTTGCCATTCAGACACGTGACGCGGCTCGTAACCCGAGAGTACTTCATCAATTTGTAAACTTTTACCAGACTCACGGTGCTACAAGCCAGAAGACTCTTTGGACTCACTGAAATGAAAACCTCAAATCTTACTCATAATTTAAATCTGACCAGCAGTCTAACAATGGGAGTTTCAAACCACTACAACCAGACAATAATGGTTCACATTATTAGGCACACAATATACATTGTATATGGCAAGAAATAAAAATATATGTGATTTGGTATTAAAAAATAAATATATAAAACAGAAATAAAAATAAGAATATTAACAGTTAAATCCAGACTGCATGAAGGCAGAAAGTGGCCCTTGGTAGCTTGGGGCCTGCATATGGCCAAGCTCCCCCCACTCCATAATATATACACCTCTTGTTATTTAGTGAATTTATAAGCACAAAATGTTGAAGTATGAATGTTTTGTTCTTTACCTGAACTGGCATTACCAGCGGTTATGCAACGTACCCTCAGAGTATAATTTTGTCTGAAGGAAGAATAATACTGACAACAAGATATTATAATAATTATTAAGAAATTTGATGCTTTATATAAATCTACAAATACATTAGAATATATCAGAATTACAACATTTCAGTTCCAGGATATTTTGAATATGCCTTTATAATGAGTGACAAATGTAATTTAACAGTACATGCAGGTTTAAAAAGTGATTTTCACCTTTACCAAAACCAACTCTGGTTTCGGCTTCACAGCAAACTGACGCAGTGCAGCATCTGAACTCTCACATTTCTGATTGAAGGCATACCACCTATCCAGTTGACGAATACAATGACGACATACTCTCGAAGGAAGACCATCACCAGCCACAACCTAGTCAAAGTATTTAGGTTAAACAAGCATCAATTGTAAATCAATCCTCTACTTTCATAAATAAAGTCTTGAATATTGTTCATAACATTCCTTATCAATGTAGGAATAATTTTACAATCAAAATCTTTTTTAATGAACACCAAAATTATATCAGGTTTGACAGTTCATGAATGTTTCACCATTACCATCAAGAAATTAATCAGTAAAGCACAAGGTTGAGAATACTATGAATAATTATTAGAAACCTCTTATCTTGTCCGCCACTTTTAAGATTACAAAAATCATTCGCCGAAACACATGATTACTACACATACATTAATCAAGTTTTCAAACTAACCTTAATAGAAACACACATCATTATTCTAACTGGCAACGGAACCGGTTGTTCCTTTGTTTGGGGTGATTCAAAGATGTGTACCATCACTCCCTCTTTCGACATACACAACCGGCATATTTTAAGTGGGTTGGTACTGCTCATCTTTCTAAAATATATATTAAAAATGCTAAAACAACAATTCCAAGCATTCACTTAAACACCACGGCCGCCATCCTTAATAACACACAGGCTTGTATCAAAGAGAAACGACAGGAATA